CTTTATAGGTTAATTGTGTGCAGTATTTCAAGGCTAACTTTAAAATTGAAGTTTTTTTTATTGTATCTGCAAACTATTTAATCTCCTTTCTTCATAATCATTTAAGAAATTAATGGCATGCAGATTGCATATTTGATGGATAACACAAAAGTTAGAAATATATTTTCAAAAAAATTTAAGTAGTTCGGCTAATTTAATTATTCGTTCCATCGAGACAACAAAAAGCATTATTTTGTTTAATCTTTTTTATAATTACTTTCTGATATTTCTAATTATTCACTTGGCTTTATATTCATTTTGGCCGCATTTTTCTTTAGACAATATTAGCATGCTCCTACGTGGAAACACAATAGCCACAAAGGCCATGGAGATATTCCTGCGAAATAACGGTGCTGAATATTTGCGACTTGCATTGGGAAGGTTTATTCGGCAAGTGATTGCCGCAGCTAATAACCATCCCATCGATAAGAAAATAGAGAGAGACACACTTATGTTGCTAATGAAGGAGGAATCAACCGACAAGCAGGACTCTCCAATCAAGAGTAAAAAGTCTAGAACTCTCGACTGGGAATCCAATGACTTCGTAGGCACCTTGAGCTTGGCTGACCATCCTTCCCATCTTTTATATAACATCGACTGTGAAGTCGATCCAGCCCGTCTGGCAGCAACTAATGACTTTATGATTGACGGTCAATTAACATGTTCAGGCCTGATTCCTTCAAAAAATCATACTGACTTGTGCCAAGAATTCATGTTAAACCGGCCGAATTCCCTGCACAAGCGTGAACATATAGACTTTTCAAAAAAGGCTCAATCTGAAACGGCACATTTTTATGAACATGTTTTCAAGTCACAATTGGAAAGGAATAGGAGAAATCTTCTGCGATTTGTCGACTTGGCCTGGAGCAGCATACTCAATAGTGTGCACTTTTTCCCCGAGTTAGTTTGACATATCATACATTACTTTTATTTAATATTTCTGGCCAGATCCAATAGGCAGACTGGCGAAAACTTTAAAATAGCAGGGTTTTATCTGTGGTTTTTAAGACATAAAAATAGATATATTGGTCTGTTGTTTACTTTGTAGAATTTCGGTTCTTGAAATATTCTCAATATTTGACCTGTTACTTATAGCCAGCTATATGAAAGTATGAAAGCATGGTTGGCATAAAA